GTGGTGAGCAGGAGCTGCTGTAAAAGGCGGCCACTCGTGCGGCGCCGGAAGATACGATGGTGCACATGGCTGCGGTTATGGCGGGAATTAAGGAGGAAGTCAGGTGACGTAGTATAAAGAGCAGTAAATTCCAGGTCAGGATGAGGTTGGAGTGGATGGTTGGGTCCAAAAACTCAGGACTTTCTCCCAGAAGACCAGTGATTGTGTCACCTGAAACCAAAAGTCATCGCTGACTAATGTTAAATGTTATGTAAAGTTACTACGTCGCTTACGTAACGTAGCTTATGTTAAGGCTTATTACCATGAGAGACACAATGTACTTAACATTACTTAACATCTGTCCAAGGTGGAGCTTTTAATTCTATGATGCTGGATAGATGAATGAATAACAATGCATCATATTTAATTTTTCTATTCTGTGAGTATAATCTGGATCTGCAACCTGATCAGTAGCATATTTCTGTCAGGTAGTACTACAAAGTTTTCCTCTGAAGTAAAAGTACACAGGAAGTAATATACAGTTGAGTTTCACATTTTGTAAGTGCTCTTCGAGCCTTTTAGGAGTTTTTGGGGGGTACAGTGACTGAGAATAGTGACAAAAATCAACAATTTTCATATCTCAACATCTAAATATGAAAGCAAGGAATCCCTGTCTGTCTGTCTGTCTGTCTGTGTGTCTGTGTCTGTCTGTGTGTGTGTGTGTGTGTGTCTGTGTGTGTCCTTTGCATATCTCGAGAACCATTCATCTGATCTACTTCACACTCGGTGGGCGTACTGCTATGGACATTGGCACGTGCAGTGTTGAAGTTGGTGTGAAGTGGACAATAAACTATACTAATAAACAAAAAAATACCAATAAACTAATAAACAAGTGACAGCAGAGCCCCCTTAGCTTCTGGGCTTCAGGACTGAGTCTAGCGTGTCCTCTGTACAGTCCTTCACAGGCGACTGTTCATTGACTGCAGCTCATTTTTGCTGCTGGATATACTAACGTTACAACCACAGACTGTATATAAGAAGTGGACGTATGTCATCGTGAAATGGCCACTGCATTAGTGCGCTGGTGGAACGTTACACGCTAGGTTTCTCCACCAAACACATGTATATATCTGGCCACTAAATATTGGACAACTTGCTATATTCCACCCATTCACTATACAGCATAGGAAAGTCACTTTGTTTAGGCTGCATTCTCCATCTTTGGTGGTTAATGCCATTACATAGCTGTAAGACATCGTTGTTTACAAACTGTAAAAGGGTCTATACATTAAAAGTAGTGCTGGGAAAGTTAACGCGTTATTATCGCGTTAACGCATTAATTAATTAACTCCGACAATAATATTATCACGCGTTAACGCAGTTTTTTTTTATTATAATTAAGCGGACATTTGTAACACAAGAACCAGGCAGCGAGCGGTGAACAGCTGTGTTTGTTTGGCATCTCTTCCTTCTGCTGCCGCTCTCCCCCCCCACCGGGTGACACGCCCGGTCCAGAACCGTCGGTCCCTCCTGTCTCACACGCACAGACACGCACAGACACGCACGCGCGATCGTTTTGTTACAGGATCAAAAGTGACAATATCAAAACACATATTGTCGTGTTTTTAAATGTACATACATGTATAAGCGCGTGCATCTTAACTGCAACTCTGTATGAGCATAACTTCCTCATGCATGTTACTGCCACGGTGCAGACTACAGGTTCCATGCTTCACCTACATCCCCCTGGGTCCTAAGTCCCTCCATGTACAGCTTCTTATCACCCTCTATGTACCAACGTAGATTTACAACAAATACCACACATATTACGGTAATCAGCGTTGCATATGTGTCTGACCAAAATACCAAAAAAAGCAAAAAATAAATGATTCATTTAAATTATTTTTTTAGAGTTTTAAAGTGTTTTGTTTGTAATATGTATATTAACCATCATTTAGTTATCACTACTGACAATTTAACAAACATAACAACATGACGTAGATATGTTTGCAGTTTTCAAGGTGTATATTTAAATTGCATCTCTTCCACACATGAAGATAAAGTTGTGAACACCGGCTGAATATCTATGATCAGAATCATTATAACTGTATAACTGCTACTGTGTAAAGGGAATACTGCTGCTAACAACAACCTGATGTGTTTAAAGTGTTTAAACCAAATGTTATTGACCTGTTGTTCATATAGCAGTACTTTAAAATAAAAGTGCGCAATACACTACTTTTGAATTCATTATTGAATTTTGCGCATAACAATGCGATTAATCGCAAAAAAATCGCGATTAAAAATTGTAATCGTTGCCCAGCACTAATTAAAAGGTAAAATGCAATAAAATGCATCTGACCCGACTCTCTCGTCCCTCAAAACATATAGAAGAAGAAATAAGAACAATGACAATGTATTCTTCAATAAGGCTTATTAATTAAAGTGCTGGCTGTTCAGTAGTCTAACAGCCTGGTGGTGAAAAGTGTCTTTGAGGCAGCTGGTCTGAGCTCTGTGGGCGTTTTCCTGAGGGGAGAAAGGAGGACTTCCTCCAGCAGCATGAAGTGGAAATGTCCAGAGACAGTGGCAGAGATGTTCCTCACATTTTTTGAAGCTGTTCTTCCTGTCCTGTTTGTGGTTCAGTCAGGTTGCCAAACCACATCAATGTGGATATTCTACATGTTCTGAGGCATCACAGACAGTGTAGTCTTTGTTGGGCCTTTCCTCACAACACAACTGATTTGTAGAAACCGGGAAACAGAGTCTGAAATATGAGCGCCTTACAATCTGATGTCATTCACCATTTCGACAGAGACTTAGGATGTTTTAGCACGGTGTGCTGAGCCGGTGATAAGCTCCTGTAGATCCATTTGACAGATATACACTTTCTTGAGATGTGGGGAGCATCGATCCTAAAGTGCCAGGATAATAGAGGGGCATGAAAAAAAGGCTGTAATTAGATTATTGTGTGACAGTCTGGTTCCCTCTTCCAGGAGCACCAATTTTACTGGGAGGATAAAGTCTGATTTAGAAATACTACAGTCCAAAAGAATGCATGCAAGGTACAGTTTTTGTTGTTGTTAATTTGACCATAGTTTGTGAAAAAATGCGCCTCATATACGTATTACTGTGATTTCTCCTTAAGCAGAACACATGCAGAACCTGAAATGAATCAAAATGATTCCATCTCTGTTCTCACTAGACATGTCGAAGAAACGTCGCTCTCATGCCTCAAGCCTCTCTCAGTCGGATGAGTCCACGAGAGTGAAGCCCGCTGCGGTGACGCAACTCTACTTCCGCTTTTGCTTCAAAAATGAAAGTCCTTAATTGCAAAGCATTATGTAGACTATCTGTCATATAGAATAATGATCATTTTCGGACTAATGCCACATTTGTCAAATGCGCCAATTAATAGAAGCACTGGTGGTCAGATGGTCATTGCGTGATTTGAAATGATTTGATTTTAATTTAATTGCAAATGTTTTTGGTAATGTGCACCACTAAAGGACAGTGTTAAATAAAACGATAAGGTTTTATGATGCTCCTGCATTTTTACTTTACTTATCTACTTACTTATCATTTTACTTGAAAAAAGGTCCATTTCCGTTTAACAGAATTACCGGCAACTAAGAGACAGAAGACCTGGAGCAGGTAGTATTAGTGTGGGTAAAATCCAATGAAGCAGCAATATGTTGCTTGCTGTGTGCTCTGTCCCTGACAGAAGGCAATACACAGAGAACAGGACAGATGGGGCCTTCCCAGCTTAATCTGTCCCTGTTTGGACAAAACTTCAGTTTGGAGAAATTTGCGCTCAAGCGTAGATATGCTATGATGTAAAGAAAAAGAAGATTTATAATTATACTTCAAACGACTATATTTAATTAACAAGGTGTCAGCCAGTGCTGTACTCAGGCTCTTTGAGGGGCAGGTGTAACAGACTTGGGGTGGGCATTGAAGGAGACGACTCAAGAGTATGCTTTTCTAGCATTTATTCGCTGCTGAAGACAACATAACACACATAAGTTGCTTCCTGGTCTCACTCTCTCTCTGTACATCTGCTCCCTCAACAATACGAAACACCATTGTGAGGGGAAACCGGGACTACGGGAGTTTAGGAGGTACAGAAGAGGTGAGACGCCGCTTCCGCAGGAAACATTAACAAAATAAAACAACGCTAAATAAAAACCTCATTTAGATAAATTTCACACATACTCAACAGGATCGCAAATTGACAAACAAAATTCAAATATTACAAATTGGAAATAAGAAATAATAAAGTACATTTTCAACTCTGTGTTACACAGGGGGGGACGTTGGGGCACCAGTGGGCGGCCCATATCACGTTAGCTCTTTAAGGGCATCCAAGAGGGCACTTTATATTGTTTTATCTATCAGGGGGGTCATCAATCAGGGCACATTTGCTGTGTTTGTTCCCGAGTCCACCAGCGCTGTCAACATATTAGCCCTACATGAAACAAATCTGACAGCTACATATTTGTCCGCTACCTGGAGGATCTTGCATAACTTCACATCAGTCAAATGGTGACTTGAAGACATGGAAGGAGTTTGATTTGATATAGGCTAGTGAATTGGCCACGTTATGTATTTAAACTCAAAGAGATCTTAATCAGTTAACCAGTTGTCAATAATTAAATTCCAAACGGTTTTTTTTTTTACCCTTATGTCACATGAGAAACGTGTGCTTTTACTTTCTAGAGCTGAATTGTCTGGTTTCCGGTGTGATTCTGACTAGCTGTGGTTAACTTGTCACAGTTCACGGACCACAGGCTTGCGCCACTTGATGCCCCCACATTCACATGCACTCGCGCACACGCACGCGCTTACACATACACACACACACACACACACACACCTAAGACAAACACACACACATTCCAGCAGTGACTCTCTGTTGTGGTCGCCTCGCTTCGAGAAGCGGACGTGCTTTTTGGATTTAGCAGCCGGTGCCTCCGTTCAGCGATGGTGTGAGGAGCTGCTGCTGTACGGCAAAAGGTAAACTGGGCTTGAAACCCGCGCGTTGTAATATTCCGGGTTCGAGCGCGCGACGGGCTCCGGATTGAACAGCCTTATCAATACGAACCGCTGCCCGTTGACAAAATGACTCACACCGGTAAGAGGGACCGCCGGTGATGAAACGTCGCTTTTGAAATGTCCTTTTGCTCTCAGCTGCATTGGCGTTAACGGGATGAGCTGCAGCGGCAGCCCCCTCCGCGCCGTTGTCACGCGTGGGGAGACTCAGTTTGCCATTCAAATTTCTCGCAATTTAACGTGGCCTTCTTAGTTTTCCAAAATGTAACGTCGCGTAATGCCACATAAAGTATGTCGAAAAACCTTCCGAGTGAGCCCTTAGCAATTCGTCTGTGTCGCTACTTAACGCCCCCCCCTTCAATACAATTGTAAAGTTTCTGGAGTGATGGATGCGGCGACAGCTCGCTACACCGCCCGGTCAGCAATTATGTGGGGGGGGGGGCACAGTGTTGACAAGGTGCAGTGGTTATGTGTGTTTCGAAATGAACATGGCTTTCTTGACGGAATGTTGAATAATCACCTAAAGACACGGGGGTTTGCGTCGCAAGCTACGAGCCACACCGTTAAATGGTCGGAAATCCGAGGCGAGATTCGCTCCATGTCACACCGACATCATAACGCCCCCCCTAACAACACATGCTGCAATACCTCCTTGATTCTGTCAAGATTGAGCGCGCGCACACGCAGGCTGGATACGGGGGGTTTTGCTATGGAGTAAACGCGCACGCTCGCTCGCTCCACCGCCCGTTAATTAATTTACAGCCGAGAGATGAAACGCGGAAAGGGTCGCGTGATGTCGTAAAGTGGTGTGCAGAGTCATTTTGTTTTTGGTGAGAGAAGTTGTGAGCTCAGCGTCAATGGTCGCCCGTGGCTGAGGACGAGAGGACGTGCAGATCCCCGCGTGTTTCTAATTCAAGGAGACCTACTGGTGACGACGAGTGCTTGGGCAGACTGTTAGCTGGGAAAGGATGACATTATTATATTCCCACCCAACGTGGAGAGGTGATCAGTTCCACGGCACATCACCTTCATACAACCTTTTTTAACAATGCTCTATATCTTCTATGTCTATGCATTCATCATAATGGAACAGTGTATTCTCCATCCTTCAATGCTTTTCTATGCAAAGTGATTCGTAACATGCTTAACAGCAAACCAGCCGTCCGCACATACTGAGAACCAGCCTGTGAGCAATGCAGTGTTTTCATTTTTGTGTTGTGCTCAGTAATGTAATTGTTCTTGCATTTATTACATTAATGATAATAATAAAAAGGACACCATAGGGCCACACTATACAGGAAACAAGGACACGCCTCCTAAAATCGGGAGTAAAACTCAAAGTAGTTCAAAAGAAAACTGTCAACGTGATGTCTGTGGATGATTCAGAGTTAGAGGGATGTTTCCTCCATGGAAGGCAAGTTGCTTTTAAGTTTTTAGATTGTTTGTTGTGTGCTGCTGAAACAATGACTGGAATATCAGTAATGTAATCATCAATTTTTTGTGTGTTATTTTTTCAGTCATTTATTGAGGAAAATGTGACAACCGTTCCCGGTTCCAGCTTTTTCAAATTTCTCGATTTGTTGCGTTTATTTATTTTTTATTACTTATTGGATGAATTGAGCAATTTGCCAGACTCAACTATTTCTGCTTTGTTGAAATATTATTTCAATTCTATTCCACCATGACATGGTTTTATAGAACTGCCTTTTAATTTAAAATGGATTTTTTTAAATTCCAAATGCCATCAGAAGCTTTCATTTCAAGATGGCATTTTCCTCCGATTTATTTGTAGTTCATGACAATTTTTATTTCATTATGTCCCTTTTCACAATGTCACTTGTAGTCATTGGCTTTTTTCCATGACAGAAACATTGCCTTTTAAAAAATACATTATTTTAGAACAAGATACATTTAAGAACAGGATTATAATATATTTGTATTATATAACAAAATGTTGTCTCTACAGCAGCAACAGTAATGTTTAAAATATAACATTACATTACAGTCATTTAGCAGACGCTTTTCTCCAAAGCGACTTACAATAAGTGTATTCAACAAACTAGTATTCAAGAGAACTACTAGTCACCAGAAGTCATAAGTGCATCTCCTTTTTTAAACAAACATCTAAGAGCATAAACCAGAGCAACTGCACAGTGCAGAAACAAACTAATACGAATACAGTAAGTGCAACAAACTAATATAAGTGCAACAAACTAATATGAATACAGTAAGTGCAACAAACTAATATGAATACAATAAGTGCAACAAACTAATATGAATACAGTAAGTGCAACAAACTAATATGAATACAGTAAGTGCAACAAACTAATACGAATACAATAAGTGCAACAAACTAATACGAATACAATAAATGCAACAAACTAATACGAATACAATAAATGCAACAAACTAATATGAATACAGTAAATGCAACAAACTAATACGAATACAATAAATGCAACAAACTAATACGAATACAATAAATGCAACAAACTAATATGAATACA